CCTCTGTCAGGTTGGCAGTCCCAGACAGGGCTCCAGGCTCGTTCGCTCTGGTCCGCACTCCTATTTCCAGCATGCCCCACTCCCAAATGCCCTCTCTAGTCCACACCCCTAGTGTTCCAGCATACCCTTCTCCTCTGCTGTGCTCCCCCGCTCCATCACTGGAGCCTCACGCTCCTCCCTCCTCAAGACCCCAATGCTGAGCCCCTCCCGAAGTCCTGCTTTCCTGTGCATGCAGGGGACTATTGAATCCATCCTAGGGGGGCTCTGTCCCTGACTGGTCTGCAGTGCATACACCTCCACACCACTGCCAGCCCCGTTAGAAAGCGATGCCGCCAAATCCGCGCTCACCTCGGGTGGAGTCGTACTTTTGGAATAATACTGACATCGGCCTGCATACAGTGGCCTAAGATCCTGCAGAAGAAAACAAGGGGTTTAGCATATCATTCAAAGCCAAGCCGAGGTTCAAATCTAGCACATTGTCACATATCTGAGCAGGGAGGAAGGGCCAGACTGGGCTGGATTTTCAAAAGGGCAGCGTGCCCACACAGACACCGGAGTGAAGGGGCCAGGTTTGCAGAAGCACTCAGCACCCAGCAGCTCCCACGGAAAACTGTTTGAAAATCTGGCCACGGAGGCGGGTATGTCTTCACTGCAGAGTTAACCCAAGTGAGCAGCACACAGGCCTAGGCCCCCAGGTTAGCCTAGCCCAGGTGTGAGCAGCCACCCCGGAAAGCCATACCTGAGTTACTGTGTCCTCACTCGGGATGGCACTCAGCCCTGTGCATCATGTGACATCATACTGACACCCACACGGATCATCGGCAGGGTTAGAACCTTTAAATCCCACTGCACGCACTTCTGCCTCTTGAGCTAAGGGAGTCGACAGCAGCAGTAGGTTCTTCGAGCGATTGCTCATATCGATTCCAAGGAGGAGTGTGCGCGCCGCGTGCACAGTCGTCGGAAAGTTTTCCCCTAGCAGCTCCCGTCGGGTTGGCTGTGGAGCCCCCTGGAGTGGCGCCTTCATGGCGCTCAATATATGACCCTGCCGACCCGGTGCCTCCACAGTTCCTTCTTACCGCCAGTGACGGTCGTTGGAACAGCGGTGACTTGCTTAGCAAGCTCTCCTAGTTTTCCCTAGCTTTCAGTTTAGTTTAGTTCATAGTTATTCCTAGCTTCGTTCAGTTTAGCTTTAGTGGTTTTGGTTGTTACAGCAGATAGCTGTTGGGAGTGGGGGGTTTTCCCCTTCACCCCGACCGCGTTCCCCGTGGTGACTTGGGGTATGCCTAAGTCCCAAAGGTTCAAACCCTACAAGTCCTGCAACAAGCCCATGCCAAAGGACGAACCCCACGACGCTTGCTTAAAGTGTCTGGGGGAAGCACACCAAGCGGACAAGTGCAGGATTTGTAAAGAGTTTCGCCCCAGAATGAAAAAGGAGCCTCAAACAGCTCCTTATGGAGGTGGCACTTAGACCGCAACCTACATCAGTGCGGCAGGACTCGGCACCGAGTTGATTGGTGGTAGAAACGCCACTGCAGAAGGACTTCGGAGAGACCCGCGGCATCACCACTCCCCAGCGCTAAAACCGGCGTGATCGACCCAGCACTGCTCCCATTCCCTGATGCAGAAGCGGCACCAGAAGCAGGGGAGGAGTGGATCTCTGACTCTGAGACCCACCCCTTTGAAGTCGGCCAACAGAGAGAGGAGCACCCAGCGCCAAAGACTTTGGAGCCAGCACCATCGACTTTGGCCCCGCAAGGGGGACCGTCGAGTCTGGTGCCGTTGGACTCCCCGAGCCAGGTCATTGAGGAGGTGGAGCTGCCATCCACCCTGGGCACCTTTAAGGCCGCAAGGGATCTCATCGCCATGACGGCACCACGATCCCTGGTCCTTCGAGCCAAGCCTCCGGTACCACAACGTGCAGCAACGTCTTGAGGCAAACCAACGATGCTTCGTCCCTCAGCACTGCCAGTGGAATCACGGCACCGCTCGGAGTCCCAGCACCGCTTGCAATCGCAGCACCGGTCAGACTCACGGCACAGGTCCAGGTGGTGCCAGCACTCCTGATCGCGACACCGATCCTCATGCCGATCCCCATCTTGGAGCAGGTCCCGCTCCCAACTCTGTCATCTCGGCACTGGTCAGCGTCCCCGCACAGACCCCGATCTCGGTACCGCTCCAGATCGCAGCACCGCTCCCCAGTCTAGCTCTGCTTGGCACTGCCCTGGCCATCGTGGTCCCGGTCTCCATCTTCGGACGTGGAGACGGGGTCTAGATACTCAGAGAGGGGCCGGCACCGGTCAGGGCGTGGAAGGCCTGAGGTGGGGGCAGGGCCATGGCCTGAGCAGTGGCAGCAGTGGCCATTTTGGACCCTGTGGGTGTACCACCAGGCCCAGGGTGCCCAATCCAAAGATTCCTGTTCAGTGACCTCTGAACCACGGGTGCCGGAGGCATCAGCCAGTTGCCCCACCCCTAGGTTGCCAAGGAGGTACTGGTCACATTACCTCCCCTGGAACCATCCCCAGTTCCTGAGCCTGATCCAGGTGTGATTGGCCCTGACAGAGAGGTGGGACAGGAGGCCCATGGAGACCAAGAGGGTCAGGAGGACCCTGTTCCCCCATTAGCCTCATCATCCTCCATCTCTGGACCACCCCCATAGACAGCTGTGCCCACCAGGACCTCCTTCATAGGGTGGCGCGAACAATGGGCCTGCGGACTGAGGAGGTGGTAGAGTTGGAGGACCCAATGGTCAACATCCTGGCCCCAGAAGGCCCGTCGAGGGTGGCTCTATCCCTCATCAAGACTATACAGGTCAATGCTAAGACCATTTGGCAGACCCAGGCCTCCATCCCTCCCACCGCGAAGGATGTGGAGAGGAAGTATGTTGTCCCATCTAAGGGGTACAAATACCTCTTCACACACCTGTAGCCTTGCTCACTGGTGGTGGCTGCAGTAAATGAAAAGAAGAGGCAGGGACAACAAGCCCCAGCGCTTAAGTCCAAGACTCCAGGGCTACCAGGAAATCCTTGGGCATGCACACCCCAGCAACCCAACGCAAACATTTCAAGCCTCAGCAGCAGCAGCGCTTCTATCCTCCTCGGCCGAGGCAGGACTTTTATGGGACAAGGGGCAGGAATGGCAGACACAAGCCTTCCCACCCCCCACCCAGGCAGAGCCAGGGCACGACTAAACCATTGTCGGGTTCAAAGCAGGCCTTTTGAAGGTTCGCCTGAAGATGGCGCACTAGCCACAATTCCGGATCCTTCCCCATCTTTCTTGAATCGTCTGTCCCACTTCTACCCTGCTTGGTCCCAAATAACTGCAGACCGCTGGGTTCTCCGTATGGTAGAAGTGGGATATTTTCTCCAATTCTGCTCCTACTCTCCCTCCCACTCCCCTTCCCTGTCCCTCTTCAGGGACCCTTCTCACGAGCAACTCCTTATCCAGGAGGTGCGGGTGCTCCTCACCATAGGAGCGATGGAGGAGGTTCCTCAGGAGCTCAGGGGCAAGGGGTTCTATTCCCGATACTTCCTAATCCCCAAAGCCAAGGGGGGTCTCAGACCCATTCTAGATCTGCAAGAACTCAACAAGTTCATGGTAAAGTTGAAGTTCCGCATGGTTTCCCTGAGTACAATTATCCCTTTTCTGGATCTGGGAGACTGGTACGCTGCCTTCGACATGAAAGACGCGTACTTTCACATAGCCATTCAGCCTGCACACAGATGATTCCTACTGTTCGTGGTCGACCACAAACATTATCCTTTTACAGTCCTTCCATTCGGCCTTTCTACAGCCCCCCGAGTGTTCACCAAGTGCATGTTGGTCGTGGCCGCTTTCCTCCATCAGAGGCAGGTACAGGTATACCCCTCTCTCGACAACTGGCTGCTCAGGGGCCGTGCCAGGGGGCAGGTGGAGTCTCAAGTCTGATTGGTCGGATCCACAGTTGAGAGACTGGGTCTCCTCCTCAACATGAACAAGTCAACCTTGGCACCGACCCAAAGAACAGAATTCACTGGAGCGGTGTTGGACTCGGTTCAGGCAAGAGCACTTTTGCCAGAGTCCCGTTTCCAGGCCATGACGGACGTCATTCAAGGCCTCTGGCAATTCCCAACCACTACAGCAAGGGGGTGCCTGAGTCTTCTTGGTCACATGGCAGCCTGCACTTATGTGACCTGGCATGCCAGACTGAGGCTCCGGCCTCTACAGGCGTGGCTTGCTTCGGCCTGTCTCCCGGGATGCACCAGCTTGAATTCAGTGGTCAGGGTGCCGGGTCAGGTGCTCGAGTCCTTTCATTGGTGGCTCGACCCTCGGTCAGTATTCAAAGGAGTCCCCTTCAACAGCCCTCAGCCCTCCTTGTCCCTAGTAACCGACGCGTCAGCTCTGGGATGGAGTGCGCATCTCGGAGACCTCCAAACGCAGGGCCTGTGGTCGGAGGACGAGCTGGCCCTCCACATCAATATCAAGGAGCTGAGGGGACTGCGACTAGCATGCCAGACCTTTCAGGCCTGACTACGAGGTCAGTGCGTAGCGGTTCTGATGGACAACACCACTGCCATGTTTTACATCAACAAGCAGAGTGGAGCTGGGTCCTCTCCCCTGTGTTGGGAAGCCTCTGGCTGCATGTCCCACTCCATTCACCTGGAAGCATCCTATTTACCAGGAGTTCAGGGTGCACTGGCGGACCACCTCAGCAGGTCCTTCCGCAATCACAAGTGGTCCATCCGGCCGGATGTCATACACCTCATCTTCCAAAGGTGGGGGTTTCGCCAGGTCGTTCTGTTCACCACCCAGAGCAACAGAAAGTGCCCAATATTCTGCTTCTTCCAGAGACACAGCCCAGGCTCAATCATGGACACATTCCTATTACCTTGGGGAGGCCACCTGCTCTACGCCTTTCCCCTCTCCCCTCTCATGCACAAGGTCCTACTCACGGTCTGCAGGGATGGGGCAGAGATAATTCTGATAGCTCCAGCGTGGCCTCGACAACACTGGTACACCACACTCCTGAAACTGTCAGTGGACACCCCGGTCACGTTGCCTCTCCTCACCGACCTGATCACTCAGGACCTGCGGTCCCTCCACCTCACGGCTTGGAAGCTTCCTGGCTGAACCCCATGGAGCGTCTATGCTCAGAACAGGTAAGGGAGGTCCTCTTCAGCAGCAGGAAGCCCTCCACTAGAGCCATGTACCTGGCAAAGTGGAAAAGATGTACTTGTTGTTGCGATCAGCATCATACACCTCCTCTCCAGGCACCTGTACCTCTCATCCTAGAGTACCTTCTGCACCTGAAACAGCAAGGACTGGCAGCATCCTCCATAAGGGTACACCTTGCTGCTATATCGGCTTTCCACCCGGGAGCGTCTGGACACTCCGTCTTCGCCAACTCTATGGTTGGTTGGTTCCTCAAGGGTCTGGAATGGCTACATCCCCAGATCAGACAGCCTGTCCCCACGTGGGACCTTAACCTGGTCCTTTCCAGGCTAATGGGGCGCCCATTCGAACCACTGGCAACTTGCTCCCTTCTCTACCTGTCATGGAAGATAGCCTTTCTGGTCACCAATACATCAGCAAGGAGGGTGTCTGAGCTAAAGACCCTTATCTCAGACCCACCTTATACGGTTTTCCACAGGGATAAGGTGCAACTCAGACCTCACCTGGCCTTTCTTCCCAAGGTTGTGTCACACTTCCACACACTGTTTTTTATCCTAAGCCTCATGCCAGTAGCCGTGAGAAGAGCCTGCACTCCGTGGATGTTTGGCGGGCGCTAGCCTTCTACATCGAGCGCACTAAGCCGTTCAGGAAGTCGAACCAGTTGTTCATAGCGGTGGCAGACCAGATGAAAGGACTCCTGGTCTCATCTCAAAGAATATTCTCCTGGATCACGTCCTGCATCCGCACATGCTATGAACTGGTCAAGGACCCAGCCCCGGCTCTTACAGCACTCCACGAGGGCTCAGGCCTCATCATCAGCATTCCTGGCCCAGGTCCCGATACAAGAAATCTGCAGGGCAGCAACTTGGTCCTCGGTGCATACATTCACCTCTCATTACACCATCACCCGGCATGCCAGAGATGATGCAGCTTTCGAAAGAGTGGTGCTCCAATCAGCAATTCCATAACTCCAATCCCACTGCCTAGGTAAGGCTTGGGAGTCACCTAATTGGAATCGATATGAGCAGTCACTCGAAGAAGAAAGAACAGTTACTCACCTTCTTGTAAGTGTTGTTCTTCGAGATGTGCTGCTCATGTCCATTCCAATACCCACCCTCCTTCCCCTCTGTCAGCGTAACCAGCAAGGAGGAACCGTGGAGGCACCGGGTTGGCAGGCACCACTCCCGGGGACTCCACAGCCGACCCAATGGGTGCTGCTAGGGGAAAAACTTTCCAACGACTGTGCACCCCAGATGACCCATCTTGTCTGGGCTAAAAGCACCACTGCACTGACTCACATCATTGTGCAGCAGGTAAAACCAGCAGATCCCTAAACAGCAATGCTGAGATCAGGTACAGAGCACCCCACATGGCCAGGATCAGCCAGGAATTAAAAACAGCTTGATATTTTTATGTTGCACGGAAACATGGACGTCAGAGATGGAAAAGAAACCTCCTCATCAGAGCCAGGCAGACAAGCAGAGAAATGCCAGGCGACATTTATATTGTTGAGGATTGGACTGCTTTGTGTGGTTTGAGGCATTCTAGGGGTTCACTCTCTAAAATATGGCCCAGGAGCAACTAAGGGTGTAGGGCCTTAACCTAATATATGCCAATATAGCTAATAAATCTAAGATCTCAGCTGGTGCTTTGACCCCACTGCCTACCGTACAGACCAATATTGTCACACTGTTTCCTGATGCTCCCCCATCTGTCTGTCTGTATCCATTTGTTGTCTCTTGTCTTATACTCAGATTGTAAGCTCCTTGGGGGCAGGAACAGGGAAATCACCAGCATCTATTCGATGGTATGTCTCCTTACACAAATTTCCAGGTCACTAAACTCTTCCCACTATATCTCACTGCTGCCCATCCAGCTGCAACACCAGAACAGTAACATGTATACAGAGCCTTTCACTCTGATGTGCTTTACCAGTGAAACCTATCACTTCATCCACCACTGAAATCAACTACTGCTCAAGTTAGGTGGCTGTGGAACTCTGCAGAGAAAATGAAGATCACACATTGGATGGTAACTGAAGAGGAATATTGTATCTGAGACGCTGGCCAGAGAAACACAGTACAGAGAAGGCAGAAAAGCTTTGCTGAGTTGTCTTTTAGAAGGTATTTTCCCTTTAGTTCAGACATGGGATTGATCCACTACGGTGTGGAATGCAGAGAGTGTAGGTATAGCAGCATGCACATTCCTTTGGAAATACTTACTATGTGTCTGGCAGCAAAGACACCATCAACTATGGCACAGCAGAACGCAGCAATGACTCCAAAACTGATGAAGACAATGGATGCAACTAGCTGTGGAAGGAAAACAAAGCAAAGTATCATCTGCGTCTACAAAACGTTTACTACTTCACACTTACATAAGGAGATTTATAAAACCTATCTGTCCCAATCAATAAACGGCCAGAATGGTCCAAACACTGCCCTAGGCTGCACACACGCAGTTCTCACTGAAATCAATCAATCGGATGCACATCAAAGGCAAGAGTTTGTCACCAAAGACAGTGTTTGTGAATGCATCACAACCCATGTGACAACTATACAGCAAAACAGCACATGATTCTCTGCTGGAGAAGCGTATTGGGGATTTTCTGTTGTAACGTAAGGGTAATCAAGACTTACAAGTGCTACGCTAAGTGTTGTAGCAATTGATTTGCTGAACTAGTCAGATGTGTTGCTATTTTTAAATTTGCTGTCACACAGTAACACGTATTCCAGTTGTTAAATGAACAAAAATACTTGGGCTGTTTCCAAAGAGTTTGTTATTGACTGAACATGCTTGGCAGCAAATGACAGATTTATCACTCTTCTTGATTTCTAGATCAAGGTCATCATGTGCTGAGATTATATAATTTTTATGGGAATCCCTACAATGGGCTAGATATTCAAGAAAGGATGCTTCATATATAAAACCCTGAAACCAGAAGACACATGCCTAGCCTAGGCCGTCTGTATTACAAGACCATGTCACGTCTCTCTTTGACCCATCTGTATATGGTCTAACAGAGCCTGACCCTGGAAGTTCTCTGCATGCAGGGTTCCATTTGTCTCCAGTGGCAGTTCCGGGTATGGAGGATTTGCAGGAATGGACCTTTATGCTGTAAAGTCATCAGGGAAGGGACCATGTGCCTGATTCTCCTCGCAAACCTGCTCTACACCCATGTGACTCCATTGCCTTCAGTAGAGGTCTCACTTAGGTCCGATCCTGCCACCAATTCCACATAAAGATCCTTACAACCATGGCGAGTCCCTCTGAAGTCAGCAGAGCTCTACGCAGGCACAAGTCTGCCTGCAAAGATCCAATTGCAAGATCAGTGCCTTGCTCCTGACTGCGAGTATAAGACAAGAACGAGGCACGTTGAGAAACAACTAATTGTTTTACTACCTGGTATTCAGTAGAGCTGAGTGAAGGACTTAACGACAGGACTCCAGGCCACCCAACTTTAGACTTTGCTACACCACAAGCCAGACTCAGTGAAAGATTCATTGAGAGTCGCCAACCTTTTGAGCAAGCTCAGAGCTGATTTCTGGGCAAGTGCTGAATCCCAGACCAAATTCTTGGTTTCCCTTGATTTTGAGTCGAAACTCTGAATTTCGCTTTGATTTTCTGGTTGCATTTGGAGCCCAAATATCACAGTTAAACTCAGGAGGTCTGGATCCACAGAGCTGGATCTCCATGAAGCCAGACCACGGTGTTTTGCAAGGCTCCAACTTTCAGGAACAAGAAAACAGGGAGATGTGCAGTTAATGCGAGTCCCTCTCTAGACAGGATCTGGCCAACTGTGTATTGCACCCTGCCCACATGGGGACGAAGCCCTGAGGCCACAGGGTTGATACTTCATCCCAGTGGCCATCCAGGTTGGATGGCAGAACCGTAGCACTGGGTGTCACCACTACAACCTGTCCATGTAGCAGGAGATTGATTCACTGAGCTGAATGATCAAATACTGATGCACTTTAGGACTGAACATCTCCCTCCGCTTGAGAGAGAAGGGCTCAGGTTACCTAGCCCTCCTGTCCAACTTGCTGTGCGGAGGAGTTTCTTGCCTCCCTCTTCTGGCAGCTGTTCTTTCACCCACTCTCTTTCTTCCTCTATTGGGGGGTGAGGGAGCTAATCTCACTTGCAGCTTTTCTTCCCCACATTCCAATTGATTTCAACATCAGGCAAATAATCCCATCTCCGGTGTGGAGAAGAACTGCACAGTGGCAGATGCAGCTGTCCAGAGACACAAAGTGGGAGAACTGGCTGGCTACCATCCCAGTCACAGCAAGAGCTGTGGTGCCTCAAGGTTGGTCCCCTGGCCCCTTGAAAGCAGTGACTCGGTTGCAGCAGCTCAGCATGAGACTTCTACATTATATTATGTAACGACGACAAACACAAAAATTCTGGGAAATTCGCTGTCGAAAGTGATCTGCCAGGGAAAAAAATAATGGGTTTGTGTCCTTTTTTTGCACTTCTTCCCAATGTCTAAATAAAAGACCTTGTTCTGCCTGTCTTCTCCATGAGAAACTCAGGGCTCCTCTACCATGTTTCTCCTGGAAGACTCCACGGACAACTGGAGAATGGGTGGAATTAGGACACCACTAGTGACAGTGAAAGCGCAGCGAAGCAGAAAGGATATTCAGTCAGGCTGTGTTTTTTCCTTTTTTCCTATCCTATCTCCTAGAGCTGGAAGGGACCTTGAAAGGTCATCGAGTCCAGCCCCCTGCTTTCACTAGCAGGACCAAGTACTGATTTTACCCCAGATCCCTAAGTGGCCCCCTCAAGGATTGAACTCACAACGCTGGGTTTAGCAGGCCAATGCTCAACTGAGCTATTTGCTACCACCCATTTTACTCAAACACCTGACAAACTTTTAGAAGAAAAGCTCTCCTGGCTAACGAGTCATCCCCCCTCCACTTTCAATGAGGGGCTGAAGAGCACATTTCAGCTCTCTGGTCCTCCATGGAAACCTGCAGCCCTAAAGAGGGCGGTCAAGACTGGCTAATCTGCATAGTGCGAAGGGTTTATTTATTAAATAGCCAAATTTAAAATGTTAAAAATACAACAAAGGAATGGGGAGAGGCAGAGCAGACCCCCAATCTACCCTGCTTTAAAGATCATCTTTAAGGGTATGTCTTCTCTGGGGAAAAAAGCAAGGTTAACTCACATTAGCAAACTCAGGTTAAAAGAGCAGCAAAGACACTGCTACTCAGCCATGATCAGCTCAAGTTCAACCCCACGCTCTCCTACAGGCTTCAACCAGTGCTGCTCGCCCAAGTTAAAAGCCAAGCTGCTGTGTCTTACTTACTGCTATTTTAACCAGGTTAGCTAACCTGAATTAAGAACACTCCTCCCCCCTAGTGAAGACATGCCCTAAGGAAGGCTTGGCCTTCTGTTGAACGGGCTAAGAACAAATGCCGAGCCTGCCCTTCCTAATGAACTGTCTTGGTTGGATATTGCGGCCTGAACCTGCCTGCCAAAGTACCTAGAAGACAACGGTTTGATCATCCCCTTGCCAAAATCCACTTGACTTGGTAAATAAGCATGGGGAGGGGAGAGAGCTCCTTGCTATACACTATGAATCCCTCCAAGCCTTCTCTGACCTCGTTTCCACTTGGTTTCACTTTCCTGCATTCCAGGAGAATGAGACGTCCCTTTGGAAAGGTTGCTGTTGTATTCCACACACATATCTGCCACAGGCTTGAAATACTGTGATTTTCTCTCTCTCTAAATTATCCTTGTCTTCAGAAGCCAGTTCAGTGTGTGCTGAGGGATAGGGAGAGGAGGCATGTATATATGTGAAGGACTAAAAGTTGTTCATTTTGTCAAGGTTTTGTTTTCACCCTTAAGAAAAGGCAGCCCTATAGCCGGATTGATGGGCTACTTAACAAGACACCGCTTGGAGGGAATTGGCATATTTCCCCTGCAGAACAGAGAAATGCTCTAACGGTTGTTTCCTATGCTTTTTCCACTCTCTGATGTTGAGGAAATTGGTCATTCGTTTACTGGCAGAAATGGAAAGTTGCTGTTGCCTGTATGAATGGGCTGCTTTGGTAGAAGGTAGTATAGGGGTAGCATGGCATTGCCAACACTTGCAAATTTACTGCAAGTCTTTTGGTATTGGGTGTTTGTCTTGAAGTCCCAGCTCCTGGAGTCATGTGACTACTTAAGACTCTCAAAATGCAAGTTTCTAACCTGCCTCGTTATGGAGGGAAGCTTAAAAATGTGAACCCCGGTCCTCAAAAACCAGAAGCCAAACACAATCCCAAATTATCATCTTTAAAATCTCATGATTTTTAAGCCAGCCTCACTATTTTCAGCCAGAGAAAAAGTCGTTTTACAGAGCTGGGATCATGTATCCACCTCATTACTGACTATAATATTCAGTTTGCTGCTAGGGAGGAACTGAGGGGCTTAGCAGGAAGCTTAAGGAAGTCCTGAGCTCAGGTTACTGCCTGCCAAAGTTACCTGGAAAGGGCTGGCTTATTTCTTTATTTGAAACACTTTCTGCTGTGTCTGTCACAGCTCCACAAAACCACCTTAGCCACTGAGGTGCCTCTCAGGGAGAGCAGAAAAATGCTAAGGCCCCGACAGAAGAGACACATCACCGGAGGGGGTGTTTTTTAGCCTTCTGTGATCAAGAGACAAATCAGCATCAGCCCCTGAGGTCTCCTTCCCACGTGAGGCAGGGATCAGCACAGAGAGCAGGAAAATCCAGGTTGGGGACTGGATGTGTTTGAGCCTGTCAGAGTGAATGAGGACAAAGAACCTAAAATTTGCCCTGTCTTGATCAAGCCACAGAATAGCACTTGTCAGTGAAGGTATTCACTGGGATCCAGTTACTTTAAACGACTTAAAAAGAAGAGAGCAAATGCAACTGGCTCCTGGAAGCAAGCAAAACAATCACCTCTACTGCCAGGCTGGTGATGCAAGTACACAAACGTTCTGCTAAGCAGGCTGCATTATCAAAGTGATGATGGGAGGTTGGACAAATAAATATACACATTCACATGGAGGATGTTCACAAGCAAGGAGTGGCACATAGCCCATCTGCTTGCAGGGACACAAGTTCTCCAGACTAAGGGGAAATTGACTGGGATAGCTATAGTGGAGTAATTACTACAGAAGAAAGTCACTTTTATTCCAGAATAGATTGTCTACACAGGGGAGTTGTACCAGCATAGCTATAGCAGAATAATTATTTCGCCATCGCTATGTTGGTCAATCTCGCAGTGTAGACAAACCCTTAGAAAAACCATGCAGGTTGGCCAAGTATGCAATTGAGGCAGCTTAATGAAGCCTGAAATCTCCA